AGCAAGAACATGCGATCAAGGAGCTTCGGATTTTTTTTTTATATGCGTTTTGACGTTAAAATCAACTAAATATACAAAAATTTGAAAGTACAGAGAAAGCTGGGATTTGGTTTTTGTGGCCAATCTAATTGGCAACCAAAGGTTGAAGGTCTAATTCGAGATTTTCGGTAAAAATAAAATGTTTTAATTTGTGATTAATATTTTTAATGCATACTAGCGATGATGTAGTTTATTGATAAAATGTTATATTTTCAATTTTAATAATTAAAATTTAAATTTTGATAATCTAAAATATTAAAAACTTGTTACATGCATAAAGAAGAAAGGAAAAATACAAATGATATGTAGAAATAGGAATACCATAAATATATAAATGTAAATTAATCATTGAACTATATTATTTTTCACAATTTAATACATATAGAAAAAATCACGATTTAGTATCTTAACTTTGCTTTCATCAAATATTTTGCATCATTAATTATTAGTTTTATATAAAATGATGATGTGATAGATATTAAACAATAAAAATGCACCATATATCATGATTTTATTCGTTGATTTTTTATCATTTCAACATATTATTAATGGAGTTGATGTTTAAAATAAATGATATGATACAATGAAAGTTAGATATCAAATCACGAATTTTTTTTTATAAATATCAAATTGTAAAAAATGATATAATTTAAGAATTAAATTACATGTTAACCCATATGTATAAATATTTGATAAAAGTATGCTATAAATATTATTTATAGGGGAATTCTAAATTCTCCCCATTTAATGCTATACACCCAATAAATATTATTTATCGAGAAATTCTAAATGCACCCCATTTAATGTTATACACCCCATTTCTATATACACCCTAAATTCAAAACTCATTTTCCTATTTTTACTAAATACATTTCACCTTCACTTTGATACTTTCTATTCTTACCCTTTCTCTCTTATTCTCTTTTTACTTCTTGATATTGAGTTTCTCAAAAATGAATATTCGAAAAGCTTTGAATATTTGAAAAGTTTCAAAATTTTTTGAATATTCATTTTCAAGAAGTCTTCAATTTTATTGAAAATGGATATTCGAGAAGATTTAAGGCTTCTCATATTTCTATATCCAAGAAGTTTGGAGTTTTTGGTTTTTTGGGCAAGATAAATCTGCCGATAGGGACCTCTAATATTTCGACCAGTAGGCATTATCTATTTAATAACATTTGTAACATTTTTACAATTTTAACAAATATGCATCTGAGAGGATTTTCTAAATGTGAATAAGCGTTCGTGCAAATTGATCATTGCACTATGTGCAATGAAACAAGACTGCTTCATCATGTATGTTATTTGCATGAGTGCTAGTCACAATTAACGATTTCTTTTCAAATGCACATTTGTTAGAATTTGATAAATATTGTGAATATTATTTATCGAACAATGCTTGGTCGAAAAATTAGAGATTTTTATTGTTAAATTTATATATCTTATATGTCATGGTTAATGATATTTTCAATGGCCCTAATATTAGGATTCTGATTTTTTTTATTATCAAGAGCTTATAATTAAATATATTTTTTAAAAAATTAATTTATTGTCAAAACCATATTTTCAAGACTGATATTGTTTTGTCTAAAATTCATTTTCGATTTTCGAAAAAACAATACAAATTTCAAAATAATAGATTTTCAAGATATGTGTTTTATTCTCGATGATCCATGTCCAATAATTATGATACTTTTTAGAAAATGAATTTCCAAAAATATAGTATAACATTCGAAAATTTATTTTTGAAAAATACATGATGATTTTTAAGTGTATAAGTTATTAAGAATATTTTTGTTATTTATTAAAAGTTAAAATTGATATTTGAAATGTAGGTATTTGTAAAAGAAAATTTTGTAGTTGTATATTAATTTTTTAGAAGAAAATCAAATGATATTACGTCATTAATAAATAATATTTTTTTAAAAATTAAATTTTTATATATTTATTTTAAAAATTAATATTTATTAATTAAGAAGATGATATTATTTGATTTATTAATAATATATAAAATTTATATATCGATAATATGTCTAATATAAATTTATTGTTAATTGTTAATTGGAGTATCTTATAATGTATTAAAATGTTAATGTCACCGAATGTAAGTTTAAACTAAATTTCAATTGCATGTGAGTCTGACGGATTACACCAATGGCGACCCAACCATTCTCGACTATAAATGGTCTTCGAATTCAAAGCTCAATTTCTTTATGTAAAGCAGTATTTGATTTCATGACGACTCTAAACCAAATTGTCAATTTTGACCATGCAAGTTGAACTAGCCAACACTTAAAAATTTCTCTGGTAGCGTTACTCCTGATACATACTGCCATTTTTTTTTGACTCAGCTCTAATCTTCTCTTTTGTTTAACTTGAATCTTACTCCTTTGCAGAGGCGGCTCCTTGTGGAAGCCTGTAGGTGACTTGGGCCCCACTTTTAACATATCAGAGTTTTAGCCTGCATTGCTCTCCATTAAAGTTTTAAAATTTTTAGTATGTGTATATATTGATCTTTCAAATTAAAATTATTATTTTTATAGTTTTATAATTTAATTTTATGTATTATCATCATTAAAGAGGGATTAAAATTATATTATTATTTATTTATTTATTATATCAATTAATTAACAATGTATTAAAAAAATTTTAAATCAAGAGATTTGTCACAACTTTTAAATTATAATTATGTGAATTTAACAAAAATCAAATTAATTTTTTAGTTTTCTCGAGAAGACTCTAATTTCCAACAAAGTAATAATTATGTGTTTTGTATTTTTTTAGCTTACTTCAATTCTTGTTTTCATATGATTTTAATTTCTTTTTTGTAATTTCACTTTAGATCTCTATCTAATAATATCCTAAAATCATTTTTTTTTGTAAAAAAAATCGGATTCTAACATTTTGAAAAATAGAAAAAAAAGTCAGAATTTCTAATCTTAAAATTTTAACATCATTTTAAAAAATATATATTTATTTTTCTTGTTTTTGATAAAAAATATTATTTAATGATTGATTTATTTATACTCTTTTATTTTAATTTTAAATTAAAAAAATAAAAAAAAATTTATAGGTCATTGAAAGACTATATACTTAATAATTTTACCATTAATGTAAAAGTATTATTTTAAAATTTTTAATGCTATCTTAGTTATATTTTTATTGTACAATTTTATGTTCTTGGTTTTATTAGTATATTTTGTTTAGTTTGATTAGTGTTGACAACAGGTCGGGTCGGGACGGGTTTTTGCTCTTTTCGAACCTGACCTGATTTTATAAACATAAAACTCATACTTGTATCCGACTCGAATTTTTTTAAAATTTTTTATACCCGAATCCGACATTATATAAATCGTACACGACACGACCCGAAATTAATAAAATATTATTTTTTAAATATAAATATATAAATATATATAATTAAAAATTAAAAAATAATTAAAAAATAAATTTTTTTATATAATATTGGGTCGGATCTGGTTGGTCTAAAACCTGATCCCAATTTTTCTTTAATAATATCCGACCCGACTCGAAACTCGATTTAAAAAAAAAAAACAGGCTTTATAAGATCGAATCGAGTCGAAACCTGCTGATTCCAGGTTGGGTTGCCAACCCTGAGTTTGATGCATAAGATGATAATTCTCTTATATTATATTTAGTTTATATTAAAAAAAAAAGATAAGATATATAAGTAGTATTAATTATCCTCTTAGTATAAAATGATTCAATCTTTTTAAAATGGAAAGGATAATTTTTAATTTATAGGATTGAACTTATATATTTTATTATACTTTTAAAAATTATATTAATAATTTAAATGGTATAAATTTTAAAAAATAATTTTAACCAATTAATAAATTATTTTATTTTAATAATTGCATACATCAAATATAAAATAATATTATATTATTTAATATAATATTATTAATAACAACATTTTATTCTATTATATTATAATTTTACATATCAATGACACCCTTTATGTGCCTCCCCAAGTATAAATGTTAAGATTTAAGACTCTTCCTCTGTACATTCTTTTCTTTTTCATTTTGTTTGGATAAATATTAATAAAAAAAAAAGGTTTTTAAAAGAAAAAAAAATGATACATGTAACCCTTATTTAGATAATTAAAATTTGTAAGAAAAAAGAAATGAAAGAAATTTTAACAACTATTTTTTGGATAAAGAGTAAAAAAGAAAATAAATGATTCATTATAATAATTTTTTCTAATTATAACATTTCATTGCCTATGATTTTAGAGCACTCTTAAACCATAAAATATTTATTATTATCTGACCTCACAATTATTATTATATCAATGATCTCATTTCTTTGTTTATCCATCTATACAGTAAAATATTAATAATTATTATTATTATCATAAAAATAACTACACTAACACTTGTATGAAAGAAAATAATATTAGAACAAAATTGAATTAGAGCATTTTGAGACATGAGACATTTAACTATAAATCATATATGATACTAATAATATTACTAATATTTATTAATTACTCACATATATTAATTATTATAATAAAAAAATTTAGAACTAATCTGACATTTGATAAACGCAAAAATATATGTCTATTCATATTTAAAAATTCATCAAAATCAAATCATCAAAAAATTATAAAAAATTTTTATATTAAAAAAGATATATGAAACTTAACTTAAAAAAGAGATGACTTTAAAAAAATTACAGAATGATTGTGATCTACTTAAATTTTTTTATTAAATTTTTAATATTAATAAAAAGATAAATATAATAATTTTTTTATAATTTTTTTTTCAACTTTCCTTATCCTAATTTTTTCTTTAAATTGAGATATTAAAAAATTCAATTAAAAAATATTAAAAATTATTTGATTTTCACCTTTTTTTTTTCTCTTTATTTAAATTAAAAATTTATTCATACAAAACAAAAGAGAGTTTTGTTTCTTTTACTTTCCTTCCCCTCTCCTCCATCCAAACACATTGTTAAGCAAAACCAACTAGAGATAGAATGAGATCTGAGCCCCCTGTTCATGTATTTCTTGTTTCTTTTCCAGGCCAAGGCCATGTAAATCCTCTTCTTAGACTTGGCAAGCGCCTTGCCTCAAAGGGTTTGCTGGTAACATTATCTACAACAAAAAGCTTTGGAAAACAGATGGCAAAGGCCAACAACATAACGGACGAGCCAACCCCAGTCGGTGATGGCTTTATCCAGTTTGAATTCTTCCAGGATGGCTGGGACGATGATGATCCAAGACGCGTAGACTCTGACCAGTACTTGCCTCATCTGGAGCTTGTAGCCAAAGAAGAGATACCTGGCATGATCAAGAAATACGCAGACCAAAACCGTCCCGTTTCTTGCTTCATCAACAATCCCTTTATTCCCTGGGCATCCGGCGTTGCTGAAAGTCTTGGCATCCCTTCTGCAATGCTTTGGGTGCAATCTTGTGCATGTTTTGCCTCATATTATCATCACTATCATGGGTTAGTGCCGTTTCCTAGTGAAAGTGATCCTGAAATTAACGTTCAGCTGCCCACTATGCCGCTTCTCAAGTACGATGAAGTTCCTAGCTTCTTGCATCCTTCAACTCCTTACTCTATCCTCAGGAAGGTCATTCTTGGTCAGTTTAAGAACCTTGATAAGGCTTTTTGAGTATTGATGGAGACTTTCCAGGAGCTCGAGCCTGAAATCGTTGAATACATGTCCAAGTTTTGCCCTATAAAGACTGTTGGTCCATTGTTCAATAACCCTAAAGCACCAAACAGCACAGTTCGTTGTGACATCATAAAAGCCGACGACTGCATCGAGTGGCTCAACTCGAAACCAGCGTCATCAGTGATATACATCTCGTTTGGTTCTGTTGTTTACTTGAAACAGGAACAAGTGGATGAAATAGCTCACGCGCTGTTAAACACTGGTATCTCATTCTTGTGGGTCATGAAACCGCCGCCTAAAGAGCTTGGCTCTCCAATCCACACTTTGCCTGAAGGCTTCTTAGAGAAAGTAGGTGATAAGGGCAAGATTGTGCAATGGAGCCCACAAGAGAAAGTGCTGGCTCACTCTTCAGTTTCCTGCTTCGTGTCACATTGCGGTTGGAACTCCACGATGGAGGCACTCTCGGCTGGAATGCCTATTATTGCGTTCCCTCAATGGGGTGATCAGGTGACTAATGCTGTTTACTTGGTTGATGTGTTCAAGATTGGTATGAGAATGTGCCGTGGAGAGGCAGAAAACAGGATAATTCCGAGGGAGGAGGTGGAGAAATGCTTGCTGGAAGCAACGGTGGGGCCAAAGGCAGCGGAGATGAAGAAGAACGCCTTGAAGTGGAAGGCAGCAGCGGAGGCAGCTGTGGCGGATGGTGGTTCCTCTGATAGGAACATACAAGCCTTCATTGATGAGGTGAAAACCAGAAGCAAGACATTTGATCACACCAACACTGATTCAGCCGCTAAGAATTTTGAGGACAAGCCTCCTTCACCTTCAACAGAATTAGCTTCGCCAGTCAATGGGTAGCTAGGATTAGAGGTGTATCATGCGGTGAACAGGTGTCATGGAAGGTTTGGTGACTCTAAATCAGACTAATATGTATTCTGAATTAATACTAATAAAGTTAATTTTTAATTTGGTCCTTTTGTCTTTTGTTTTATTTTTTATTCTTTTAATTTAATAAATTTATGAAATTTAACTTAAAAGATACTCATATGTAACATATAATTAAAAGAATCACTAAGAATTTTTCGATTGATATCTGTCTTATTATATAAAAAAATTATTTTAATTTTTAGTCAATTTAATTTTATATATTAAAAATATTTTATTAAATATTAATTAGTAATACCTATCCAATTTTATTGGTGAGATTAATAATTGATTTTATAATTTTTATTATATTATTTATGGGCTAAGCCAATAATGGATCGTATTAATTTTGTTAGGTTTTGTCGGGGTTGAAAACATGGCAAATCTAACTATTTTAAGGTTAAACCTGACTTTGTTCATGTTGAATTCGCTGTCTTAGAAAGGTTTTACAACTTCATGTGACGTCTGGCCAGTGGGTCACTACCGGCGCCTCTCCATTCTTTTTTACTAAGTTTGAAGAAAAGAATGAAAGATACATGTCGTCATCAGAATTATTATTATGAGTATATAAAAAAAGTTACATGTCGTCATCAGATTATCATTAGTATTTTTTTTAAATATAAAAATAATTTTTTTATAAATATGATAATTTATGGATTATTTTTATCTTTTATATTAAAAATATAAATAATATTAAAATTATTCTGTCTTAATTTATGTGTGAACATATTTTATATGAAATTTATGTATTATTTTTATTAAAATTTTAAATTATAAAATATATTGTTTTGATATATTTTTATCTCAGTGTTATCTTGTTTTAAATTATATGATATATATTTTTACGCAGAAAACAGTAGAAAAATTTTAAACGATCATGCTTGCGCACACAAAGCTGGCAGACACTTGCCCGTGGCCCTAAACATGTCCAAGTTCATTTAACATGCGAAAGAAACAACTATAAAAGCCCTTTCTTTTCTTTTTTATATATATATTTTTCCCAGAATAGGAGAACTTTTTTTGGCCATAACAGGGGATGCAATGGTGTGGTGTTTGTCTTCCACAGACTTCTTAATCATGGAGTCAATAAGCTGAAGAGAAAAGGAAAAAAAAGAAAAAACCCCTTTCCATTTACTTCTACAGTTCCCCCAATGGTAATCGGCAAGGGAATCCGCTGCAACGGTACGCCAACGTCTGTTCCATTTTAGGACCTGTTGGATGACAAAGCCCCACGTGGGTCCCATTTCACTGAACCGCCATTGGTTCCCATAAAAAATCTTCACAGCCGCCGTTGTCGCTTTTGTATTTTTTCTACAGTCCAAGTTTGAGTAAGTCGGGCCTCTTTTTCTTGTTCGTCAGTTCTTAAAACCGCTCCAAAGCACCTTCAGAACTGCTCCACCCCCAAAGAATAATTATAATAATAATAATAATAGTAACAAAGAATAATAATAATAATATTATTATTATTATTAAAAGGAAATGGCATTGTCTGAGTTCAGGCCACTGGACGAGAAGTCACTCATCGAATACATAAAAGCGACGCCGTCTTTGTCATCGAAGATCGGGGACAGGTACGACGATTTAGAGATTAAGGAAGTTGGAGATGGCAATCTTAATTTCGTCTACGTTGTCGTCGGCGCTTCTGGTTCTTTTGTCATCAAGCAGGTTTCACTCGTTTTCCATTTTTTCTTTTCTTCTTTTTTTTTTTTACCTTTAAATAATTGAAATATGAAATGGGTTTTTCCAATTTATGCTTAAGTTTTTGGGAAACTATTCTGTTTTGTTGGAATACAGGCACTTCCATACATACGGTGTATTGGGGAAGCTTGGCCGATGACAAAGGAGCGAGCATATTTTGAAGCAGTAGCATTAAAAGAACATGGTGGATTGTGCCCCGAACATGTTCCTGAACTTTATCACTTTGACCGTACCATGTCTTTGATTGGAATGCGATATTTAGAGCCTCCCCATATAATCCTGAGAAAAGGGTTGATTGCTGGAATTGAATATCCATTCTTGGCTGAGCATATGTCAGAATACATGGCCAAGACTCTTTTCTTCACATCTCTTCTATATCGGTCAACCACAGAGCACAAACGTGCAGGTAACAGATTCATATGCATTTTCTTTACAGTCTTTAATATTTTTTTGGTTTGTTTTTGGTGTAGTGCGAATTCAGTTACTGCAAGTACATTTGGGGGTTGGAAGCCAGGCCTGTATAAAGTTATGTCCCCCCCCCCCCTCCCAAATAATACATGAAACTATCTTTCGTGTCCTGTTTAAGTTGGGGATTCAGTTGGAAGTGTTTCATTGTCTCCAATCCTGTATTTTTAATTGTACTAGAGCAGTGTCAAGTTTGCTGGTGGTGCTATAGTAATACCTTTTATCAGACAAATGATTAATCCGTAATGTCTATATATGAAGGATCATAAAGGAAAAAAGACATTTTTATTCATTGAGGAAATGGCAGGTGTATGTTTAAGTGTGCTATTTGATTCCTAATTATGTCTATGTAGCTTTTGCCTTGAGTAGCCATTGACTCTTTAGATCTTTCCTAACACAAATTTGATCGCTCCTTTGTGCAATCTTAGCAGTAATAAGATATGTTTGTTGCTTTTAATAAAAACCTGTACACTTTTTTTCCCTCGAAGTAGTCATCCCAAATGTCATGGCATTAAGTAGGTATGAAGAATTGGGCTGTCTGCCAAACATGAAATAAAAAAGCATAATTATCTCCTTTGTCATTTTAGCTCTAGTAAGACTATTTGGAGCAAGTATTTATATATTTTTAGCTTAAAGAAGATTTTATTGTCTAGTAGTGATGGTTTTTAAAGGTTTGGAGATATGCTGCTAATTTACGTGCAGTCAATGCTTTGTGCAGTGGCTGAATTTTGTGGGAATGAGGAACTATGTCGGCACACTGGGAAGGTTGTTTTCTCTGACCCATATAAAGTATCTGAATATAATTGTTGGACTTCTCCTTATCTCGATCATGATGCTGAGGCTGTCCGGGAGGATAATAAATTGAAGCTTGAAGTGGCTGAATTGAAATCTAAGTATGGTTGCTTTTACTTTTAGTGCTATTTTGTATATACTGCAATTCGTGCTTTATTTATCAAGTTATTAGACTTGCGTTTATGTAGGTTCTGTGAAAGAGCCCAGGCCCTTATACATGGAGATCTCCATACTGGTTCTGTCATGGTTACCCATGATTCAACTCAGGTCATTGATCCAGAGTTTGCATTTTATGGACCAATGGGATTTGATATTGGTGCTTTTATTGGAAACTTGATTCTGGCTTTCTTTGCACAAAATGGACATGCTGATCAAGGGAATGACAGAAAAGTATGCCTTTGGTTGTTTCTCTTATTGTTTTATGAAGTTTTCCACTATATTTGACTTTACAGTTGGTCATCTTTAGTTTTGATTCCATCTTGATATATATTGTTTCAATATTTGCTTCAAGCACTTAGGATCTTGTGCTTTGAATTTTTTGCTCGGTTAAGACCTTGTTTCTTGTTTGGCCACTTAAGTCAAGTTATTCAATGAAGAATCTTTATCATGTCTCTTTGGATTTTATTATTAAATATATTCTCTATGGTATCTCCAGTTGTAACTTAAGATAAAATAGTGTTTGTTTCATCATCTCTAGGAAAATGTGTCTAGGCAAATTGTTAGCAGTGTCACAGTAATGTTTTACATTAAATATAATGGTGCTGAGCTTCAGAAATTAGATGTGGGCCAAAGTGAAGAAGTTGAATAAAATGAAATGTTAGAGATGACATTTATGTCTAAAAAGCATTATTTATCCTCTGTTAGTTACTATCATGATTTCCGAATGATTTGATTGCCGATATGTAGGAAGAGGAATATAGATACAAAGGCACCCAGATCTTCATACATGTGCGTGCTTGCACTTTCATTGTGGTTGGGGATAATAATTTGTAACTTGAAGTCTTACTTAGCATTAGCTTTCCTCAAACTACTTTTGAGTAACTTTCCTATAATATGTATTTGTAGGTGTAAATACATATGCATTTATCATATGTATAGCTTTACAGGCTGCAAAGCGTCAGTTATTCACTTTTTTGAACACTTTCAATTGCATTTGCTTTAAAACAATTTCAAGTATTATATAGGAATGGATGAATTTCATATTGCCATGCAGATTTACAAAGAGTGGATATTGAAGACAATTGAGGATACTTGGAATCTTTTCCACCAAAAATTCTCTGCTCTTTGGGATGAACACAAGGATGGCTCTGGGGAGGCTTATCTTCCAGCAATTTATAACAACCCTGAGCTTCAGAAGCTTATAGTAGAAAAATATATGAAGGAATTGTTCCATGACACGCTTGGTTTCGGTGCTGCTAAAATGATAAGGTGAGATAAAGGTTTTCTACCAGGTCATCTGCATTTTCCTCTATCCTGGCCTTGTAACCTTATTTGTTTTCTACCGTACTTTTTTGACTCTTAATCAGATAGAGGAGTCTTCCTCTATAGGTTGAATACCACTTAAAAAAGCAGCTATTCTTACTGCTTTCGCATGCAGGATCCTACTTGATTAATAAATTATGAACATTGTGCAAATGCTAATTCTTAAATTTATTGATTAAACTCTGACAATTTTGTAATTGTGGTGCTTTTTCTTTAAATTTGCAGGAGAATTGTTGGTGTTGCTCATGTTGAGGATTTTGAATCAATTAGAGAAGCTAGCATAAGAGCAGATTGTGAGCGACGGGCACTTGAATTAGCCAAGACTCTTCTCAAGAAGAGGCGAGAATTCCTGTCAATTGCAGAAGTTATTTCAGCCGTAAGGCATGTCCAATCATGATGGAAATTACGTGAAAATTGATGTTTTGCTTCCGTTATTGGTTCCCTCACAAAGCATCTTCAGATTTTTTTTTTCCTGGGCCAAGCCGCTCTGGCTGGAGTTATTCAGAAAGTATTGTCTGTATCTAGCAACCTTTTATGCTAAATAGAATGAAGTTTTTTCAGGATCCAGACATTACTTACTGTTTGTAGTTTAATATAGTTTTCATGGTCCTCTAGAGGCCTGCTGGCCTGGAATTGTGAGTTTTTGACAAAAGTTTCCTGTCTCTGTTACAGTAGAGCTCGACCGGGGTTGTTGCAAAGCACGATAACAATTTGAGTGTCTAGGTTATTCTGAATGTGACCCTTAGGCAATTTTATACTCTGGATCTCTGCGAACTTACTGATATATATTTTGACAGGTTTTCTTGTTCTCACCTGTTCCCTGGCACTGCTTGTGAAAAAGTGAAACTTGTATCTGTTTGAGTTCATAGTTTGCTGAGCAAGATATTTGGTTTGAATAATTTTCTATATGTGAAGGTAATGGGACGGTGCACCCCAAAAAAACAAAAAAAAGAACAGTAATTGGACTACTAATTTTTAACGTACCCATACCCTTTCAGTTAATAAAGAGTTGACTACCTTGATTACGAAAAAAACTACAATAGTAATGCAAATCCCAACTTTTTCCAATTTATTTATGTTAACAGCATGATCGGACTTGAACGAAAGAAAAATTGTTTGGCCAATTGAAACAAAGAGAATTAAGGGAGATGAAGAAGGCTTGCCATAACAGTGCAGCACATTCCTGCTAGTAAATTCCTTACACTGATCATGACTCGGATTTTATTTAGACAATTTATAAGCACAGAATATGCGGATGAAAATACAATAGTAATTCATTTTAATTGCCATACTTGGCCTTGTAATCACTCCAGAGCTGGTCAACAGTCTTTCCCAACAGATCAACGAAATAATCAGCACTATAACCAGTTCTCATCTTTTTGTTCAGCTCTGCAACAAATCCATTTCTGAGACTATTACAATAGTCCAAAAACCTTGCTGTAACATCATAGCCTTGGTCCCAACGATTGCCCTGCCCTGGCTGCACCCAATGGCTAGGAATGTAATTAGCCTTTAGCCTCACAAAATCAGCTATTCCTTCAATTAATCCTCCAGGAGTCTGACCGTTCCCGTTCCATTGCCAGATATGAGTCATTTCATGATAGATTACGCCTGTGAATTCTTTTTTTACATCACCTGTATAGTTTCCTAGATAATTTGCGTTAACATGAATTTCATTATTAACAGAAAACGCAACGCCATCCCGATTTTCAATGAACAAAGTTACTTTTTGTACATCTTTTCTTTCAGCTGGGTTGTTTTGTTGGAAGATTCTCCAGATAAAATCCGTGGCGGAACCCAGAGTTTGCAGGCTGTAGTCGACCCCGATATCGTTTCTGAAACGAACACCGCCGCCACTGTTTCCTGTGTTGTCATTGACAGCATATTCGACTGCATGGGTGCTTTGCATGGCTGAAAGAGATAACATTAGCAGAGAGAAGAAAAACAAGGTGCGAGCCATGGTAGCTTACTAAATTATAAATCGCTTCTCTGTTTCCTTTCAGAAGGAGCTTTCTCTTTTCTTTTTTTTTTTGCAAGAAAATGTATTGTCCTCCATGGGTTTATATAGGAGTTGGATGACAGTGGCCAGGTATGCGGCTTTCAAAAGTTTTGGTCTAATCCAGTTAACCATGATGCAAGAGAAATATTGACTAGTTCTTCGACTGTATGTTCGGCGTATAAATGATGGAGTTTGAATCGATAGAGTATTAAATTTAAGTTTGATTTGAAATTTGAAGGTTTGAAATTTAACTTAAATTTTATTGAGTTTTATTATTTTTATTTGAATTTAATTTGAGATAAAATTTAAATTATTTAAATTTATTTAATTATGATCGATTAATATGTAAAAATAAATTTAATTTTTATATTCGATAAAAGTTTGATTATTTATATTCGAATTCAAACTCGAATTTAAGATATTTTATTAATTAAATAATAAAAATATATTTAAATATAAAAATTAGATTAAATTTGTAAGTTATTCGAATCGAATATACAAATACTCAGATTCGATTAAATCAATGAGTAAAATTATTCGAGTTTAAATATAAATTTGATTTGATAATAATCGAATTGAATTTAAATTTTATTCGAATCGAACTCAAATAATTTATAAATATTAATATATTATTTATATATTTAATTAAATATATTAAAATAATCGATGATGTTTATAAAAAATTAAAAAAAAAAAACAAAAAATAATTGGTGATGACCTGACAGCTGTTTTTATGGACTTATAGAAACAAAAATCTTTTAGCAAAATACAATTTGGTCACCCTTTTATCTTTTCAAATACATGTTGAAAAAATTTTTTTAACTCTGTGATGGTGGGAAGTCTACTTTCTAAAATGCAAACTAGTCAAAATTGGAGGGGAATAAAGAAAAGAAGAGAGATGGCCAAGTATAATTAAAACCTGTCTGATGTAAACAAGAATACAAAATCCTGAAATATTGACTTTGACTGTCACCAAAACCGACATAATATGTTACAAATTCTGTGCCGAAATAAAGAGGCCTCCCCATATGTCCTTCTAGAATAAAGGTTACCTCAACGAAGAAAAATCCCTAGTTAACTCTATTGCCAAATTAACAAAGACAAAGGAAAAGAAAATTAAGATCAGAAATACTAACTTAGATCAAGGAACAAAGCCCCCGTAGTAATCCAATAGGCTACATCTTTTGTGACAGTTTGTAATTTCATATTGAAAAAATGTATGAATATAATATGATATATAAAGATATTTAAATTTAAATTTATAACATATTTTTTATATGATAAAATTATAAAGTTTTTAAATTAAAATTGATAAAATTTTATAGATTGAGTATAAGTTTTTATAAATAATATTAAAATGATAATCAATCAACGAAAATTTACGAGTCTTTATAAATGATATTAGAATGATCATCAATCGATGAAAATTAAATGTTACATAATAAAAACATACTTTTTATGTGATAAAATTATAAAAATTTTAAGTCAAAATAAGTAATATCTCATAAATTAAAAATAAATTTTTATAAATATATTATATTATATCTACACATTCTCTTAATATAAAATTTGGGGCATCACACCTTTAGTAATAAAATTAAGTTATTGGTTAAGTTTGGATCAGATTAATGTGTATAGCTTAAGTTGTTTTGCATAGAAATTAAATTTACTAATTTATTATTTTCAATCTTTGTAAAAAGTATTTTAAAAATAAAATTTTAAATATATAAAAAAACATGTCTTTAAAATTATTCGAAAAGAACTTAAACTTAAACGAAACTTTAAAATACTATGCTATTATTATAAAAAAAAATATATAAATTGGTTATTTTATTTTAATTGTTGAAAAGTAAAATAAGCAACAAAGAGAACAACAAGGGGAAACAAACAGCAATTCACCAAACCAATTGAGATTAGAAAAATCTACGACCAAGACAAAGCATCACATAGCATTATAGTCCAAGTAATTTCATAGGCGCAAATTAAGGGGCCTAACTTTTTGTCATGTATGTTTATTTTTAGAGAACCTGCCAAATAACTACACAACGGAAAAACCAACCAGCCACGCTAGCTACTATATTATCTAGAAGCGGACTTTGTGGGAGAGTCTCAGCTGCCCATATTTAATAAATTCTCTTTTATGCCTTTTTTTTTTTTTTTTTTGAGTTACACGAACTTCATTGTTGCTAACATGTGGGATCGCAAGCCAGTTCAGGATCAGCACGTTCTTTTTATTTTTGATAGTGCGAGATCATAGTATCGAGGGCAAAAAAAATATAAATATTAATATTTAAATTTTAAACTTGTTAAATAATTTTTTTACAAAATAATTATACAAATTAATTAAATTAAAGTTTAAGTTAATTTTCGATAATATTTTAATTTGTGAAAAAATCTAACTCGTAGTTAATAAAAATGTATTAGAGGTAATTTTAGATCCAAATGACATTTTGATCATTTTTATTCATTGGAGATTTTTAATAAATAATTAGAGATATTTTAAATTTTTATGTTGATTTAACATGTTAAATCGATCTACTATATTAGTGTCACGTTAATTCGATTTCATCATCACTCATGCCTTAAATCAATTATTTTTTATCTATAAATAAAATCCTTCAAATACTATAAGATATCTTACTTTTATTTTATTTTATTTTTAATTTTTTTTAGTTTGATCTCCGATATTGCAACGTACAATTACAACTTCTTTTTTTAACTTAACTTTTTTTATTTTGACTTTCATCTTTTAGCTTAGTGATTAAGATATCAATTAAAAATTATATAAAACGTGAATTCTACTTGTCATCCTCTTTCTCCCCTTGTAAGGATATTAACTGTTTTTTATAATAAAAAAAACTTTTTTATTTTGATTTTTGATCTTGCAATGTACAATCACAATTTTTTTTCTTTAACTGTTCACTTATTTTCTCTATTTATTTGAAAATTTTATCTCTCAATTCAAAATTCGATATAAACATTACGTCGTAAGGCCCAGGCTCGGACCCGAAGATTTATATTTTATGTTCAATGTGCATTTTTTAGGTTTCTAATCTTAATTGAAAATGGAGTAATTGATCAATCCGATGGAGGAATGATTAATAAATTGTGAAAAGTCAATCAAACTCGGTTGAAAATCATCGCCAATAAGCTCTGACGGACGTCGGCATCACCGTGGATTGACTTTGACTTGGGCAACTGGGCTCTTTGTCTTTTTCCTAGTTGTTGCCAGACGGATATTGACGCATTCACTCTGACTGTTGCATTCTTCGGTATTGTATGGTTGAACGGATCACATGCGGGGGTCTAGCCAGGAAAAATTTTTAAGTGATCATATTTTAATTTCTATTATATAAATATGGTATTATATATTATATTATTTAAAAATATGTTAAATCTGAAAGTTTTAAGCTTATAAAATTATAAAGTAAACTTTTTTAATTAAAAAGTTATTTTTTGTCTCAAATTAATTGACTTATTGATTTTTAAAATTTAAGAAATTTTTTTTATTTTAATGTATTAATATTAAAATTTTAAATTATTTGTCAAATCAAATTTTCATAATTTTTAATATCAAAAAAGAAAAAAATCATAAAAATAATTTTAAAATATAAAAGAAAGATTTTTAAATATTAAATAAAATATGATTTTAGGACATTCCAAAAGAAAATAAATAAATAAATAAAATGTGACAAAAAAAAGTAATATAAAGACAATGATATATTATTTCAAGTTTATGATTGGATCATTTTTGAACTTAACAAATTAAGTTGGATTTCATTTCATTTTTATTCTGTTATTACTTATCTTTTTTTTTTCTTAAAAAGACAAATGATGGCTTTAGATATAAGACTAAATAATTTTTTATGAAATTATATGTATTTAAAGAAATTAAAATCATAATTAAATATTTTTTAATATACCTCAAGAAGAAAAACCAATAAATTAACCAAATTAATAACCAATAAATCAATTTTTTTTAAGAAACCAACAAATCAATAATTAATTTTGAACAAAACTCACATTTGATGAAATTTAAGCTTGGAAACTTGAAGGTTTAAAGATTTTCATTAGCATGTAAATAATATATTCCAATAAATAAAATTTAAAAATTAATTTATTTTATAATATATTTAAAAATATATCACATTTAATATTTTAATAAATTATTTTTATTAGAGATCAAATTGTATAAAATAAAAATTTATAATCATATATATAATATAATATAAATATTTTAAGAAAAATTTTATCTTTTTTAATTTTTTAAATTTTAGTGGTTCAATATAAGTAAATTACAAAAAAAATTTATTAGAACATCTATACTAAATTAAAATTTTTAAGAATTGAATGGGACGATTGACTTACATGTCTCGTAAATGTTGACTAATATAAATTAATAAGTCGTTGCTTTTAAAATGCTTACATTTTATATAATAATGAAAATATTTTTGTTAATTTAATTGTTTATGATAGTTGATGTCAAGTCAATATCATATCATAAACTATTCGTGATCATAAATTGTTTTAATGGCAAGGAGATCTTGATATCTTTCAAGTCCCAATTACGTTATCGAGATAAGACTTTCCATGATCCAATCAGCGAAACTAGTTTACATATTCAATCTTAATAGTTAAAAAAAAAATCACAAGAAATATTCGTCCACCTAAAAAAGTCGCCACCCAAATTGTTAATGGGAAAATCTAAGTATGCATCTTTTTTTTCTCTAAATTTTTTTTTTCAAATTTTTTATAAGTGAAATCATTTTAATACTTTTTTCACAATTATTCAAGTATTCATATTCGATAGATTTTATGAATTTTTAAAAATAAAAATTATAACATTTTTCTAAATACATACATAAAAATAAAAATATTAAAAATTTGTGAGAACTTACAAAAAAGATATAATTTTATTAAAATTTTTATGAATTAGTGGAATGAAAAGGTTATTATTAAAAATAATAAAATTTAAAATTAATAAAAAATTATTTTTATTACTTTGATCTTAAAAAAATAAAATCTTATA